TGTAGGCCGATTATACTTGCGAAACATTAGGAAAAACATGATTTCCTCAAAAAATTAATCAGTTAAATATTTTTTTTGCCTATATAAGTAGGCATCTTTCGATCATGATATTCAAATGTCCACTTATTTCGCACAATTTTGTCGCATAAGCTCAACCGCAAAATACTCAAAGTCCTTTTTCCTCAATCACGAGCAGAAGATATGGATAGTTGTTTATGTACTGTGCTCAGTTGACTAGTGTCCATGCCTGAAGATTGATAATACATGTTTGCGGAAATATTTGCTGCTATTTGAGTTTGTGTTAATATTCCCAGCAGATTTGTAATTGAACGAAAACGTTCAGCATCTGGAGCAGTTTCGATAGAAACCTTGATGGCATTTTTGCTAAAAAACAGTGAAGATAATCCGCGGTTTCCAGTCTAATAGCATGGATTTCCAGGCCTCAAAGCTTAACCTATTTATAAGTGAGTCAGTGAAGCGGTCCACATAAATAAACTGCAGCTCCGAAAGGGTCGCGAGAACAAGCAGAAAAAACAGCAATCGGCAGCCATCGGAAAATGGGGCCAAAGGATCGCTTTTCCTGTCTGCCAGATCGGAAAAGTGTCGCCCGGACAATTTTCCGGGTTGACGAAACCGCTTTATGCCTGGGCGATCACACGACGCCAAATCGGGTGAGCAATCTGGCCAGATATCAGCATTTCCTGGTCTCCCCAGTGCCGATTAAAATTTAGATCGCTTTGCTTGCTTTTGCGCCAATTGCCCTCAGAGAAGCGCGTCACAATGGTGTATCAAATAAATATCCAGCCATATAATAATGTAATAATTTGGGACTGAAGAGTCTAAGACAAAACATGAGCTGCAGTGTAAAACACGCAAATATACAGGGTGAAAACATGAAATTTTGGCATAATCTTGCACCTAAGTGTCTGATATTAAAATTTCGCTTTCTGGATCAAAACTATTCCAATTTTCTCACTAATGTTGTGGTGACTGAATCGAATTTTCACGATTGCAGAACGATGCCAAAACGAATTGAGAAACCTCGAAAAAGGCAGCGTCATGTTGAGTTTAAAAGTTAGTTCAAACTAAAAAAAAACATAAAAATCTAAAACTTTTTGAAATCGAGGCTTTCGAGAAAACTGCCAACATTTCCTTATCGATGGTTCTCTCTCTAAAACGGTCATTTAGTTATCTCTGAAATTATGTAAAAATGAGCGTTCTTGTTAATTTTACATCCGAGAAACGAGCAAAAACGGGACAGAAATTTTGCCATAATCTTGTACCTGAGTGTATAATATTAAAATTTCGCTTTCTGGGTCAAAACTACTCGACTTTTCTTGCCCGAAAACTGGATAAAATTACTGTTTCAATAAAACGAAATGGAGGAAGAAAGATGTGGAAAGGAAAATCAGAATTCTCAAGACCATCCAATTTAGCAGGGCAAGAAGTAGTAGCACTTACTATCAAAAAGCAAAAAAATACTGAAATTAATCAATCAATTAACGAAGAAAGAGCGCGAAAAAAAGACAATATTTAATTCAGGACCTTAACTTTTAACTCATTGATCAGGGCGTCGTTTTTGGCTGTTAACAGTGAAAAACCCATTTTAATCACAAACTTTGTTGATTTTCACTTAATTTATGAGCTTTCAGTTTCAAATCACAACCAACTTGTCCGATTTTGAATCGGGAATTAATTCGTCAAAAGCGCATCCAGATTGAAAGACAATTTTTGCACCGTCAAGATAGCGCAGCTTTGTTGTTTGTGGACAACACACCAAAAAATCATAACATACTTTAAGTACACCTTCAGATGACCTTTGGTTATTGAACCATATAATTTCAGCAAAATTTGGCATTTTCTCCGGTAGCGCTAGCTGTATTAAAATATCTTCCTAATTTCCTTGACAATTAATATTTGTTTGCTTCATTTATGCGCAATATTGCTAAGTGGAACACACTTCAGGTCTAAAGACGAATAATCTGTAAAAACACTGATGTTCGATTATTTCGATTGACTCTGGTGGTTTATCGTTTACCAGTGCAAAAACTGTGTAATTTCAAAGGCAATCTCAGAAATTGAGAGGCTAAAATGCGTTTATTGACAAAGTGGGAAGGGCAAATTAGATTTCGCCGCGAAGAGGAAGCGAAAGGTGGCGAATTTGTCGCAAATTTTTCGTTGAGAACGGAAAGAAATGTCGAGGGTGAAAGGCGCCACATCGACCTCCCATATTACATCAGGTATTATGTTATTTTGCTTGAAAAGTCTGGATGATTTATGGATGGATTTCCATCGGCTGGATATTTATTTGATACACCATTGTGACGCGCTTCTCTGAGCGCAATTGGCGCAAAAGCAAGCAAAGCGATCTAAATTTTAATCGGCACTGGGGAGACCAGGAAATGCTGATATCTGGCCAGATTGCTCAACCGATTTGGCGTCCTGTGATCGCCCAGGCATAAAGCGGTTTTGTCAACCCGGAAAAGTGTCGCCCGGACAATTTTAGGACTTAGGTGCAAGATTATGCCAAAATTTTATGTTTTCACCCTGTATATTTGCGTGTTTTACACTGCAGCTCATGTTTTGTCTTAGACTCTTCAGTCCCAAATTATTATATTATTATAGCTATTCTAATATTACTCTAACAATACTCAAATCTTTAGAAGTGATTAGATATTACCACTAAATCATGGGACACCCTGTATACTTGCTGGGTATATTTAGCAGATCGAAATCCTTCAGTTCTATGGAATGTTGCGAAAAAACGTCCTATTTACTCTCGCCCCTCAACTGCAAGAATCGAAATCGAATGGCATTAATGTTGGCAAACACGCCACAGGGTCGATTCGACAAATAAGCATTAAGAAAGGAAGCATGCTCGTTTAATTTTAGAGCCATCGCCGGTTATGGGACTTTACGGCCATAATAGTTGCGCTAGTGTCCATTTCGGACATTGTGCCTTTATTGGGCGCTCAACTATTGGGAGTATTGAGCAATCGGGTCTTTGTAGATTCGTTTATCGGTGTACGGCTCCAACATACGGTATGTACGATGGTATAAATAGAATTTTCCAAAAAACATAAATAAATGCCAGAGAAACTACTTAGAGTTAAATGGTATGGACATTGACAAATTATCCGTTATGGAACAGAACACCGTCGCGTAAAATTAGTAGTTGCGTTATGAAGACTCGATGTTTTTAATAGAGAGCGCAACGTATAATATTCAATAAACATTATTCCGTCTCATTATATACACACAGACTAAATCAACACTGATAAAACGCAACAAATCCTGAACGTGTTTGCATCGAGTCTGGACTTCTTCTCAACGATCTGATGCAACTTGATCGAGTGCACTTTGATATACAACGCATGTCTGTACGCGCCTTAAGAGTGGCTAAAGCAAATGCCTCAAAAATAAAGCGAAAATTGGAGTCAAAAATATAAAATTATGTGGTAGTTAATATACTTATTTAAAACCGGAACTCAGTTATAAACCTTTTCAAAATGGGGCACAAAATTTCCAAAGTTATGTCAATTTTGTCCAATCGAAAGAAGCTTTCAATAATTGCAATAGTTAGAAGAATAATTAAAACGAAATCAAAACGAAATGCTTACGAAAGAGTTAAAGGTCGAATTGCACTTGTAATACGACAAATTTTGAAACTTTCTTCGCTAAAGTCTTACTAGAACTAGCAGTAGTTCACCAGTGAGATTAACTGTGAAAAACTTACCAAAGTGCCATCAAAGCCCTAAAACACAACACTTGATCGGTTCGGTCTTCTAGTTGGCCACACACGACAGGGATTGACGTCGATTGGAGATTGAAACCCGGGCTCATAATCCCATTAGGGACGTGTGTTTCACCTCCAAACGATCGGTGTGCTCTCGCTTTGAGTTTGCTCTAATCGAGTAAAGGTTATATGCGCGACTGATTCAGGAAAATTCCGAACCGAAAAATGAATCTGGACCGATTATCGTTTGAATTGTTACATACGTGTAGTCGCACCCTAAGCGCTCAGGCATATCTCCCTTTAACGGGCCATGATCAATTCGACTGGTTAGTTCCTAATTTGAATAAGTACAAAGAAATATCACAGTGAAAGTTGCAGTTTACCCGAACGGCCAATGAATTGTTGTGTACTCAACAGCTGAACTTTGCCTTGCAAAATTTCCATATTCCTCCAATGCCGGTTTTTCACTGCGCACTTTTCCCCGAATTATTGGCCAATAAAGTGGGCGGTTAATAATGTTCGCAAATCTCAATAATTTCCAACCTGCTCTACGTCCGCAATAAATTGTACGTTATGGATCGCAGCCCGGTTCCATACTTGAGGCTCATATTCGGCGACCTTCAATAATTTTTTCCCACTTTATTGGCTAATAAATTGGAGAAAAGTGCGCAGTTCAATACCGGCATAAAACAAAGCAACTCATCAATTTGCACTATAATTCACTCTGTTGGCTGATTATTATTAGGAGAATTGGCTGACGTCCGTCTTTAAATTTAATACTTTTCCCCAATAACAATTGGCCGTCCCTCCGCGCCTCACCTTCCGGTATCTAATTCAACATCATACGGATCACGGCCTATTTCCGCATATTCACCGGCTTTTCCTACACAAGATGGACCGAGCATTGTGCATTTATTAACAGCAGCTTCCAAATTATTTGAAACTGCAGCTGAGATTTGACAAAGGAGCGCACGTCGATTAGTACGATTCTTATCTGGAAAAAGCACATGCTGGGGCAACTTTTCATCGAAAACTTTTCTATTCTTTTGTAGAACCCCCCTGACGTGTTCCTTCCTTCTGGGGCTTTCTTTTGTATTCGTGTAGGCTGCTTCTAAATGTTTCTTCTATGACTTTTTGATTGGTCCAGACCTTCACCAGTTCCAGCCACAATAATTCCGAAACACATTCACACAGTAGCAATCATTCCGACGTCTCCTACAACTCCTTTGAAAATAAAGATAATTAAGAAAAAAAACGCACTCACTTAGCAAATCAATAAGTTTAATTGTTTTAACAAAGAATCCGATTTACTTCTATCCTACGGGAAGGTGCAAATTAAAGCCTCTCGCAAGCTGGCGATTGTTTCGTCATCCGAACCGGGCCCTCCTCAAAAGGACCGCTTTCAACTTAGCTTAGAAAATAAATAGCTTAATTCTAGTCATGAGCTTCATGATCATCGCGATCATTCGCATCCAGTTTATTTACAATAGATGAGCACATGGAGGGTCAGAGTGTCAGGTGTTCTCCAGCTTCTCCTTCGGTGTTGGGGCGATTGGAGGTTCCTCCAAATTGAGAGGCGGCGAGACACAGATTGGCTGATTCTCCAGCACAGCCATGAAGATTTTGATGAGGTTGTTGATGCCAATCAAGTAGCCGTCTTCGTGGTTTCCCACTTTCCACTTGGAGTTGTGCGAGATGGTGACATCGGCAGGCAGGTGGATGGTTTTCGCAAAGTCAATCAACCACACATTGGCATTGTAGCGATCGTGGACGAAGAGCAACGAGCTGCCAATCACCTGTTGGAAATAGCCTTAGTAATTTGCAAAATTTTGAGCAGTTCAATTCCACTCACCTCATGGGTTTCGAAGAACGTCGACTGTCCCAAGGTGGCTTTAATAGCCTTTAGTCTTTGAATGTACTTTGGCTGCAAAGAGACCAAATTTAGCTAAGGGAGAACGGAAAAGGCCACTCAGTGCTTACCACTACATGGGGAAACCCTTCAGTGAAACTCTGGAACGCAGCCATGATTTGCTCCTTGGACTTGGTAGTTTTGAAGTCTTTGCTACTGGTTCCGTCTGAGTTCCGGATTCCTTCGATTCTGAAGCCCAGAGTAGCCGTGGACGAAATCGTCTCCCTCCACACCATGTATCGGGGTTTGGTCACTCCTTTCAGCTTGTGCTCCTCGTCAGTGGGGGCGCTCTCGTCAATCTGGCACATTTTTTCGTACATGTCCTGAAAAAATCATCTGGGTACAATTTGATTGATTGGAAGCGATCAAACTGAGCGAGATCTGAATTGATTCAAATCAAGTTTCTGATTGATTGCAAGCAAAGTTTTGTTAACTTCGTGCCAAGACCGGTGCTAGATACTAAAGAAACGCGCCACGTCGCTACTAAAAATCCGCTGTTTTTTGTTACGCAAAACTTATTCTAATGCCGTCACTAGTGGTTCTTTTTTGGCTTAAATTTTGTCGCTTTAGGTTTTTTATTAAGTATTCTTAGGTATACAAGGCGTTTCTTTGAAGGTTCTAGTTCGAAACACTGACACAAAAATGTTAAAGCAAACACCAACAACAAAATACTTTTTTGGTCAAATTAAAATAGTGTTAAAACAAAAACAAGTATCACCTCTAACCAAAAAAGAAAATATGGCATGCAAAAATATTTAGGTTAAATTGGTTTCATCCATAACTAGGCCTGTGTAACACTGTGTTGAGTTGCGCTTTTGAGTTGTTGCCGCTCTTTGAGTTAATGAGTTTTAACTCATTGGTAACTAATGACTTATAACGCAGGGCCGGTGGCGAAATTCTAGCATCTATCAAAAAAAGTCATCAACATATTGCATTTGCGCATATGATTGATTGAAACTTGGTCCAAAACGGAAAAATCCGGAGATTTTGAAGAAAATTTTAAAAATTTCAGAGCGATGATGACGTGTTTTCCAAATAATGATTATATGCTTTTTCTAGTCGTTTTTTGAGAAAACCTAAATGTTGTCGAAAAAAACAAGATAACTTTGTTTCGCTTTTGTCCCAAATTCAAGGGTAAAACGGATATTCGAAAAAGACGATAAAGAAGACCAAACTGTAAAGACAACGAATTTTCTTGTAAAATCCATCTTTTAACTTTTCTACATAAAAGACTCTATTTGCCAGTAGATTACAGTAAAACGTTAGGAAAAATAGCATTGTTCTATTTAGAGAGAGCTTTGTTTAGAAATATTGGCCTAAAAGTGAAGAAGTTTTCCGAATAATTGATTATAAATTTTCACTTGTTCTGTTCAGGAGCCGAGTGTTCCAATTAAATTTAGTATATAATTTTCACAGACATTACCTGAAGAGCGTCAGTATTTTAAGTAAAACTAAAAATAATACGTTTTTGCATAGAAAGAAGAATTGCTTAATAGAAACTTTGGTGAAACTGAAATGACCTAAAATTTTAAAGATACTTGAAAAATCTTCAGAGCGATGAGGAGGTCAAATTTTATAAATAAATTATTTTTTGGAAACTTTTGCTTTCTGTCGTTTTTTCAAGATAATCTTAATTACTTTCGGTAAAAACCTGAATAAAATTATTTGGTTTTTGGGCCAAATTCGAAGCTCAAAAGAGTTTCGTAGCTTTGAATGAGGCGAATTTTGTAACAAAATAAATTTTGCAATTTTCGGCTGAAAAGACCCCATTAATGTCAGTAAATCATCAGGAAATTATGTTTTTTGCGTTTTCGATTAAAAACTCGTAGTTTTGTGATCGGTTTTTGAGAAAATCTTAATAATTTCCGGAAAAAACGGGAGAAATGTATTTTCGTTTTTGTTCCGAATTCGACGCTAAAAAAAGTTTTGGTCAAATGTCTTTAAAGCTACAGATTTATATTGTAATTTTTCGCGTAAAAGACCTCCAGATCGTCAGTATTTTTAGGTAAAACTCTACAAAATAAAGCCCTTTTAAATGGAAAGTAACGCAGAAAAAATCAGTCAAAACTAAAAAGCCAAATTTTTTAACAAGATCTACAGTCTTCGGAGGAATAGAGGTGACGAGTTTTCCAAATAATTTATTATAAACTTTCGCTTATTCAGTTCGCTTTTTGATCGAAAATCATTGGATTTTGTCCCAAATGCGAAGCTGGAAAAGTATTTTAAGACTTTTTACTTTTTAAATCGGCAAAGGAGGCGAGTGTTCTAATAAAAAGTATTTCATAATTTTTCGCGAAAAATACCTTAATATTCTCAGTGTTTAAGTGAATCTATAATACTGAACATTTAGAAAAGATTCACTTTGCCAAAACTGAAAAATTCTGAAATTTTCAAGAAATGTTAAAAATATTATTGATAAATGTCCCTTAAAATAAATCTGAAAACAATTAAAAAAAGTCATCAGCATTAATGGAGTTGGAAACTGGATTATATTTCTTAAGTCCCATATATTGACTAAATTTTGTAAATTTGTTTTGTTAATTAAACACGTTGTACAGCAGTTTTCTTTGGTTATTAAATCAACTTTAATTCTTAGTACATCACGCCAAAAAAGTCCAGTCAATCTGCTCATAAATATGAAGGGTGTTTCTTTTAAAGGTAATTTACCTTCTTTATGTCAAATTTTGTACCTACCTTTCTCAACTTCGGCTTTTCCTTCGCTTTAGCCAATTCCTCCTCCAAATAGGTGCGAACGCCAATTTTACAATCCATGACACATGGCGATACAAAATCGCCCAAAAGATCCTGCAGCTGGATATACTCACATTCGCCATCGTCACTGGCTACCAAACCTTTGTACTCTGGAACGTAAGGTCGCAGAACGTCCTTCATTAGCACCTGCAAAGGCCACAATTTCCTGTAACGCGCTGGAGCAGATGTTTGCAAATCCACTCACTTGAAAGCATTTTTCTTCCTTAACGCATAATTTCTTCAGGATGGTGCCCTGGTCGGGACCTGCCTTGAAGTTGCCCTGGTGTCCAGCCAACTGAACCCAAGGGTATCGATGTTTTTTGTAGGTCTGGAAGAAGGGCGTCCATTGAACAATGTTGCGCAGCTTTCGCCAGCCGGAGCTCTGGAACAAACGAAGCACATTAGCTTAGACAGTCAAAGCTGGCAATGAAAAATTCTTGGAGGTGAAAGAATATTTTCGTTTATGAACTCCTTATAAGGGACTGTGCAGGTTTAAAAGTTGGCGCAAAAGTTGGGGTTTGCAGATGACTAAATAGGCCACCAACATCCAAAAGCTTTCCAGAAAAACTGGACAACAAATCAGGACATTTTGATGCACACCTGGACACCTTGGACCTTGGAAATGCTACAAACCTTTCCTCTCTCCTCCTTCCTGGGTTCCTCGCGCTCCGACTCCCACTCGGAACTCAAATCATCCGAACTGGGATCGCCGTATTCCGCATACAGAGGCACCTCCAGGAGGCTCTTCTGGTACTGCTCGTAACCCGTGCAGGATCCCCTGCGACCGCCCATTGAGGGACTGGTAGGGGTGCCCGGACTGCGGCTCCTCCTGAACGAAAAGCGTCTCTTTCCCGACCTGGGGGAGGCTCTGGGGGAGGCGATGGGCGAAGGGGAGCGCGACGTGTGCAGGTTGAAGTCTGCAGGGGTAAAGCAGGCGGTTAAGGTGGAGGGCATTTTGAGGACCAACAGCGCGACGGGTTTTGGCACGACTGACGCAAATTGAGGTTTGCTGGCGGAATCTCCGCACTCAAAGTGCATGGTTCAGCTGATAACGGCGATATGGCGAAGAGTTTTTGAATTTGCCGGCGCCACCAATAATAACCAGTGCTCGTGCAGGTTTTTTCCACTCTTTATTGGCCGGTCTTTTAATTAGCGCATTTTTCCACTCAGACAAATAATGACAGTGCCGCAAGTTTTCGCATGAGAAGTTTCAGAGCCCAACATTTAAGTTTCAATTTCCGAGCCGCTTCTGAGCCACTCAGAATCACTTTCCTGAGTTCGTCAGTTGCTTATACAGGGGGGGATTCACTAAGAATAGGAAATCCCGAAACTGGAGATTCTACACGTTAAATTGGCGCAAAAATACCTCATTTGATAGTTAATATTTCCGGCAAAACAGAGTGTTTAAGTATCTGACTCCTTGACGCTGGTCAGGTGCTCAAGAATATCAAGAATAGATTTTAATTTTCCGGGGACACCTGAATGTTCCCAGCGACTGCTAATCACGTTTACTGCTTGAAACTGATGAGTTTTTTGACTTTTAAGCCCTCGTGGATTATAAGTTGTTCCTAACGTTTATCAAGCTCCAGCGGGCTCATCCTCTGAGTTATTCTGAAGATGTAAATCTTTTATTTGCGAAACGTTAGGATGAAAACCTATTCCATCAGAGCAAAATGCCCGAAAAACTGGGCAGTTTTACACACCAGGCTGCATGGGTAATGTTGAGGCATTTTAAAAGATGAGATATTCAAGTATGTTCGTTCATTTCCAGTGCCTTCAATATGCGAAATTTTACTAGATTTTACGACCTGAATGGACTTGTTTTGTTGTTACCTCTACGAGGAATTACATGCTTCGTTGGAGATATTTTTCTGCATTTGTTTACCTCAAAGTCTGCACTAATTATTCAACATCGATCAGCCAGACAATAACATGTCAGTTAGACGATTATCTGTGATGATTTGTGAAAATTTTCGGTAATGTTTTGTTATGGAAATTACAGAATTTAGTTCCTGGATAGTTCTTGAGACTTAGAATCTCTAGTGTGCTGCCGATTTCTGTGCTAAGCTTAAAAAAGTTCGAACGGATAAAGCGGATTTCGAGGCAGTTGGAGTTAAAGTCCGTGTTCTTCTAAGGGTGGCTGATAAACCAACTCCAAACGGTCATCAAGTTGGTAGGCAAATCAATTTGCAGCCACAAGCTTTTCTTGGCTAAACATACCGAGTGTTTATAAATGTTAAGCACAAAAACCACTTTCACATAATTATGTTAAAATTTGTATGTTGCCACCAAATAACATCGATAACAGTAATGATACAAAGCTTAGTTGATTCAAAATTGTCCATATGATCATATATTCTTGCTAATAATGTTACAACATTTTGTTCGAAGTTTTCGGAAAACGCAATTTGAACTACGCGTCCTCTGAGAGTTTTACCTATTGTATTCTACATGATACCATAAGGAAAACACTTACATGGTCCTTCCAAGCCATCTTAAGATATCGCAATCGAAAAACAGATAGGATTTTTAGGAACAATTTGTCAAAATTCAACTGAATACAATAACAGCTGAATATCGTTGCCCGTTTCAGAGGTGTGGCCAAAGAAGTCATTTTTTTCTGCATTATAATGTATTGAATGGTTTATTATTTAGAACTGGCAGCGCAGTCGTACCTGCCGGATGGGTTTTCTCCGCAAGGAATCTGAAGTATGAACATATGCAAAGTGTGTTTGTTGAAGGGTTTTTCCGTCTTTATTCGAAAATTGTGTGGATTTCTTGCTAAGTTGTCATGATTCTTGTCACAATAAAATTTAAAAAAAATGACTGAATGAAACATTGGGCATTCATGCAGTCCTCAGATAACACCATATTAGACTCAAGATACAAAAACTTTTTGTGTGCATATATAAAACATCATAAATTTCAGCTAAACTAGATGAAGATTTGAAAACGAAACATAAAGTCAATAAAACAAGGAGACACGACCAATGAAACCACGGTCCGAACAGATTAGAGCCCCAGCAAGCACAGATTGCTTACGAAGAGCGCAAGATCGACAGATCTGGAAAAGACTTGAAGAGACCTATCCCCAGCAGTGGAGAGGTTAAGGTTTATTAAGAAGAGAAGTTCACCAATTTACTTATAATTTGAGAATTACTCTAATTTATGTCTGTGAGTTTCATTAAAACCCATTGCATCATTATTCCAGTAATTCGAAAAAACTAAATTTTTTTGAGGAATCTGGACTATCAATAACAGAAGAGCTAAACCCAACATTCCAAATATAGTTAAGGCATTTTTAATGATTGTCCGTTAATATTCCGTTGCCTATTTTAGCATGTGTGTTTCCCGAAAACAGTGTTTTCTCCTGTATTTTCAGCAAATTGCCTCTAATTCAATAGAATTACCGAAAAAAAGCCCACTTAATACATTAAATTACGCTTGATTGGCGAACGCTTAGCTTACACAAAATCGAATCATTAGTAATGGTCGCTGTTAAAGCCGCAAATTGATTGCTTAATCAATGGTAGTTTAATTAGTTTTATTTTTCTTTGTGGGCTTAATTAGTGCCTCAAGCTTGTCTTCAGATTGCGCACTGGTTTCGAAGTTCCATTTACAATTTCATGCAAATTAAGCGACTATTGCTAGAAAGACAGGCCTAATTAGCCTTTTTTCTCGCATTAAATCAAGGTTGTTTCAGGTGGAAAGCTGCCAGAACAACGCGCTTTGGATTTGGGCAATTCGCTTGTTTGAGTCGCATAGTTCATGACGGAATTGAGGCAATTTTAACAATAAAACTTCCACTAGAAAATTTTAATTTTACGGCTCTGACCAGAAATTAGTATTTAATATTGCGAAATCTACTGGTTCAGTAAACATATTACAAGGTCTAATTAGACAGTGCTGGTTTTGGGACTGTATTCCTGAGAAAATATCTCCTGACTCCCCGCTGGTTTGAGGATGCTTGAGGAATACAATCCCGGTTCTAATTACCGCCTGTGTGGATTACTCAAAGAAAAAACCTAAAACCATACAATGAGAAATTTCACCACTCGCAATCTAAATTAAAACTACCGAAGACGTAAAAGAAACTGCTATATTTGCGGGCGATTTGCATAATAAGTACGTATATTATAGTCATAAACGGGTTTTAATATGGTCTTAATCGTGTGGAAAGTGTGATTTACGTCATTCGCTGTTGTTTTTTGCTTATTATTAAGTATGCTATCGGTTGAGGTAGACCCGGATGTACATTGTAAAATCAGTCAAAATGCAACTGATTCGATTTATCTAGTGAATGATCGGCTTGGATGTTGAAACGTTTGTTACATTCGGTGACTAGTGAATGATACTGTTGGCCTTTTGATCGAATTTTCAAGCCGTTTGGTGTTATTGCAGCTGCTTTTATGGCCAAGTCAAATAAATGAAATGCAGCCTTTTAAAACTGAAAACAAATATATAAGGAAATAAACTATAAATCATTTTTCGCGGTTTGCAGTGTCAGAATTAGCCGAATTCGAACCGAATAAGTAAATTAAAACCAAATTTTACGCATCAAGAAAAAGATTGCAAGCAGACCGTTAATAAGTATTGAGGTAAAACGCAACAATTGCATTTATGCGCTATTTTCAAGGAGATTTGTGCAGTTTTTGCATTAAAGTGTGGCACTTTTTCAGTCCAAAATCGTGTGGGGTGTTTGCTTCAATTTTCCAAAATCAATAAAGTGTTTAGGTCATCTGGAGGAGAGCTTTGATTGGGGATCATAGCTTACCGGTGTTATTGTGCAACTTTTTACGACAAAGTTTTACACAATTTCGATCCGGATTATTGGTTTATTTCCAGATTATTACTCTTAAATCTTACTCGAACTGAACCCCGATGACTGGTTGTGCGATTTTTATGAGCTCGGTGGTTTGTGACGACATCGCCCATAACTGAAGCAAACAAGTGTTGTGAAACTTTTCTCTGAAACGGGGAATCTTAGTGGGAAACGCCACAATTAACGCTTGTTTGTTTCTAAGGAACTCTGAAACTCCCATCGGTTATTCCGTCGCCATATCAAAACGTCATTGCGCCAGCCGGAATTCTTCCAGGAAGCGACAAAACCCGATCATTCTTCAATGAAGCAATTGATAATCATGTGGAATACCTTTAAGATTACCGTCGTGGTCCTCGCTAAAGACGCAAGGAGAAGGCGAGCAGGTGATGGCTGGCGAGTTCAAAGAAAACAAACCATTCTTCCTCTTGGCGTTTTCCAAATCGCCCAGATCCAAGCCCAGTTTTCTTCTCGCCTCTTTGCGATGCTCACAGCTCGAAGCTGTGGAAGCTGCGGAAAACATTTCCTGATTGCTGCAGTAAGAGCAAGGACCCTTTTTTCTT